CCAGCCTCACTAATGGCTAGGCGAGGCTCACTCTTGCTGGATCTAGCATGGTCGAGCCTTGCTGGCCCTCACCTATGGCCAATGAAGAAGCAAGGAAGAAGGGAAAAAAATTCAAAAAGTTACAAAAAGCAAAAAATTGGTCTACAACAGCGATTTCTGGCCAAAATACTGGAAAATTTATATTGACAAATCATCTAAAGGTTTATGAGTAAATTAACAAAATTGAAAAATTTAGGGCTAGGTATCGATAAAATAAGTTCAGGACTGTTTGTTAATAACATTCCCGTCACATGGTCCATGAAGTCTTTCCAAACGATTATTTTCATTTTTCTTCTCCATGAATCAAACACCAAATCCCAACGTGGCCCTCCAAACACCTAGTTCGACTGTCAAAAATTAAATTAACTGACTCAGCAATTACTCTCTCCTCCGGGGTCATTCTGCGCAGCCCCATCTTTCAGAGCGCAGTTTCACTGCCGAAACGTCCAGACTCCACGGTAGCTCGCGTAGTGGGACAAAAAGTGGCCTTCACAACGTCATTAACTTAGGAACCAGTAAAATCAGTAATTAATGCCTTCGTCATCGCATCGTACTTTAGAAAAGATAAACAACACTAACTACACGAGAACTACACACTGCTACTGCACTGCCCCGCACTGCACTAGACGCTACGCTACGACCTCTGTTCTCGCACCTCCCGTTTCGTAGCCGAGCGCGAGAAGTGAGAACCCCCCCCTGAGACAGCGACATTTACTGAACTGTCCAAGTCCCAACTTGCGATCTCTGCCAAAATAATTGACGATCGAAGCCGAAAGGACAAGAGTTCGGGGATCTCCACGTGGGCCACGGGGGGGTGGGGGTGGAGGGGAAGCTTGCAGGTGACGTGTCCCGCGCAGCTGCTGACGTCGTCGGGGAACTCGAAGGGCTGCTGCTGCTGCTGCTGCTGCTTCTTCCTTCTTCTTCTTCTTCACGCGAACCTAAGAGGGTGCGAAGATCTTTTGCTTGGAGAGGCGTTCATGAGAAAGGGCCCCCCCGATTTTGGCGTCGTTCGACGGAACGGAGTTTCAGTTTGGGCAACAGTCGATCGCATCGAAAATGACAAGAGAGGTGGAAACGAGATCCGTACCGTCGTCGCCTGTTCTGACCGCACTCGCTTTCACAAGATAGAGATCGGGTTATGTGCGCATCACCTTTTTATTTATTTTAAATTACGTGCACATAATTCTTTTTATTTTCTTTTTTACTTAAGGAAAAACAAAATTCAATCATCTTGATGATAGGACACAAGAACGTAATAACGAAAGCGAATTGAATTGAAAGAAGAGGAAGCGATGGATGCCGAACAAATATCACGAAAAATTTCAAACCGATTCCTTCTTATCGTATCTATTCAAGAAAGAATTTCGTTCTACAATAAAAAAATACCTAAATTGATTTACTAGTGCTATATTCATCTCGAATTAATTTTCACGATATAAATAATCTCAAATTTGTGACAAATCTATCGAATCTTGAGACAAAATTAGGGCAAAATTAGAGATTTTAGCGAATTTTCGAAACTTGCGAGTGCTCTTCGGGCAAATTTAATCGATTTGAACAGTTTTCTAAATCTCTATTCATTTTCTTCGAATCTGGCTTTCCCAAAACGACGTTGTTTAGGAAACCCATTTTTGTTGACTTTCCATGTCGAATCCACTTCACACGCCAATATTTCGAGTTGTTTGCTGCATGCATTTCCAATTCAGCAATTTAATGAAAATATTGGACGGAAGCTAACAGATGATGGATTTGTCACATGAGTATTTGTTTTAGATTTTTTCTAACACGAAAATTAGTTTGGGTAAATGCAACACACGTGTATCATATTGTGATATTTTGTGAAACGAAATTTGGTTTGGAGTATAAGTAGCACGGGTGCGCCAGTTTGGGGTTTTCTAGTTACACGAAAGTTAGTTTGGAGTAAACGTGATCCGTGTATACCAGTTCGAAGGTTTTGGTGGTACTCACGCTAGAGATATGAAGTTTCGTCCCGAAAACCAGTATAGTTAATGAATGGACCGATGATTTGTCTCGAGCATATAATTTATTTTTAATTTTCACACGATTCAAGAGTCTCTTTGAATTTTATTACATTAGAGGTGGTCAACTGACATGCTCAAGCTTGTGACTCATCAAAAGTTTAGGCTAAAAATGGCCCCAAGATCACGGCAAGTTGGTGTGCCCAAACTTGTCCTTAAGCTCAAGAATTGGGGACAAGCATCTCCCGATTCTCACCAACAAAGATCGAGAGGCGTAGGCTCTTGGACAACAGTCTTATATAGTAAGGGGAAGAATAATGAACAATGAATACTTGCTCGTCTTTATCAGAAAAGCGTCAATAAGGGGAAGAATAGGCTAAGTGCTTAGCTATTCAGGCCAGTCCACACAGCCGGGCCCGTTTAGTTTCTGTGCAAAAGCCCGAAGATACTGCTCAAACCCTTTTCTGACCTAAAACCGAGCTCAAAGCTGAAGCATCAATACAACACATGATTCTCACATTTCGCACCTTGGAGCTATGATGCATACAGTTCTTCACATCCCCATTCGGCACACCTGTTTTGATTTCTGGTTAGATCTTTTTACCATCTAGCTATCAGTTTATAATGTCAAGCTTCTTACATGGGGAAGTCATTGCTAACCTAGAGTCTTCTCATTGAGCGATCTCCAAGAAATAATGGAGTTGGTTTAAGATCTCATATGAAACCGCATATTAGAAAGAGTGTTGTGTGGAAAGGATTTAATCCCAATAGCAGAAGTTTCCTTGAGATTCACGTTATGTTTGGAAAATACATTAAAAATTCTTGCACGTAAATCACTGAATGACTGGCATGTATATTTGGAGTTAATTTTATAACCGAATTATCCATTTGTCAACCCTTTAAACAGTGACCTTGTAACTTTATCTTTTATTTCGCTAGTGAACCTAATAATAGTTCTTTATATTGGCAAGTAAAATTATGATTAAACCTTTTTTTTATACGAAAATGGATAGAGCCCGAAAATTATATCGTTACTCTCGTTATAAAACATGATATAATCCGATCCCTTAACAACAAAGGAAGCAAATCTATTGGTGGCCTATCTAATGTAAGATTAAACCTTTAGTCGGTACTTGGGAGGGTTTTTCAGAGTTTCAAGAAATAGACATATTTAGCTGAAAGACATATTTAGCTGAAAGAGATGTAAAGAAATGGAGACTAATTGATATGTGACCACGTACGCATGGAGGAAGCCTGCGAAATAATGGAGATTTCAGATTCTTCGACATCAAATCCGAGAGATATGGACCAGCTAACAAAAAACAAAAGCGATTCGTCATATATTAATATGCCTCCTTGTACAGCAAACTTGTACATTGTCGCGCCTCGACTAGTCGACGGTCCTAGCGGAACAATCTTGTTTATGCGCATCAATCTCTTTATGCCGGTGTTCGCGTGTACTAAAATTGCGAGGAAATAAAGAACATCGACAGAAGTAAAAATCTTGTTCTTCAGGTGTTTGCACGTGCTTCTACTTGGTCGGAATCTGCTTTTTATACTCGTCATCCATAGCCGCTTGGGGATGGCACATGTATCTTGTACAAAAGAATATTGTACAGCTAGGGTTTTAAGTCTAAATCTAAAAAAGAAGAAGGAAAAGTAGCCCCAAATCTCGAATCGGTTTGAACGTTCAAATCCCGGCCAAGATTAGTTCACTCTTGTAGGGCTAGGTTGCGCCAAGCTTCTTGGTTCGGCTTAGCAAATGGGCCTTGAGAAAATGTAAATGCCTTTAACTTAAAGCCTATTGGGGAAATGCAGATTATGTTTAGTAAAAAATCATTTGTAAAGTTACTTTAGGCCAAATAGTGTTTGGCAATTTTTTTTTGCAAATGGCTTATGGGTTTATTTTTTTAATAAAAAAAGAAACCCTTTGTCGGCTCCGATGAATGGTGAGGGACGCCGATGAGCCAAATTTGGCATTGGCAGCCGTCGCTCGAGGTCACGACCCCAGGCAGCCCTCGCTAAGGTCGCGCGACCCCAGACGACGAGGCCTAAGGTCGCGTGACCTAGGCGATCGTCGCTTGGGTCACATGACCTAGGTGACTGTTGCTTGGGCGGTTGCGTGACCTCAGGCGGCTGTCGCTAGGGTCGTGCTACCTCGTTGGCCCTTCGTTGTCTCGATCTGGCCTCGTCGGCTTTGGCTGGCCACTCTTGCGCAAAGAAGATGAACAATAACAACGACTTGCAAAATCAAAAAATTAAAAAATTAGTGAGGGTAGTTTTCGAAAAAAAAAATTAGTTTCAACATTTGACCAAATGCTGAAAGCCCAATGCTATACCAGCATTGGGCTTTCAATCTTTCCAATGCTGGCTTTCACTTGAAAGCTCCTTAGGAAGACTTGCCAAACATCCAAGCATTTTCGAAGGTTTTAGGAGGCCGAAAGCCTCTTGGGAAAGCTAAACCAAACGCACCCTCAATGCGTTTGAGCAACACCTAAAGACATGTAAAAACCTTAAATAGTTGACAGGTCGGGCCCGATGCGATCTTTGGATCATGTAATTCCTTCCGGATCAAAAGATCATGGCTCGCTGAAGCCGAAGCACGCTGACTTACGTTGAAATTTGCATATCAAGATCGTAATTGCCGGTATATTGGTTACAAATTTATATTCTTCATCTTAGACGTTTGATAGACCAATGAAAAAAATTACAGGCCCAGATCGAATGGAAGTGTTTTGGTCCGGGCCAATTCTATGCTAATCCTAATCCAATATGCTTCTCCATTGGGTCATGATCTTATTCTAGGAATACACGTAGAAAGCTCCACTGACGTAGGGCTAAGAAGTTTGTCAAATCACTTTCTCAAGACCAAATTGCCTCCCCACTATGAATTGTTGACTAAGATTTTGTAGTTTTGAGTTCTCTTCATGATAAGGGTCAACTAAATAATTACAAGTCAACGATTACTTTACTAAGAGGAAATCAGCTCGAATTACTTATATATATATTATAGATATATTTTGGTCGGAAAAATTACATATATTTCGACTATCCCAAATCCAGTCATAAACAAATAGAAGATAAGCTGAAGTTAAATTCATCTACCACATGTTCGAATATTACACCAACATAAGCGCACGCGATTGCGATTATTCAAGCCAACGTGCTTGGGTCGTCCCCTTCGTAGCAATCGGCGACAGCCACGCTCCTCTGCACGTTCTTGTAAGTGTACCGCCGGGCCAAGAGCATGTAGAAGAGCATGTTGACCGCCGCCATCCCGGCCAGAAGCCAATAGAACTTGTCCAACTGGCTGCTGTTCAGGTCCTTGCCGAACCAGCTGCGGCCATGCTTCTCTGTCAAGTGATCGACTGCCGTGATCATGAGGCTGCTCAGGAAGTTGGAGGCCCCGATCACGCTGAGATACAAGGCGATGCCAAGGCTCCTCATGGAGTCCGGGACCTGGTCGTAGAAGTACTCTTGCAGCCCCACCAGAGCGAAGCCATCACCGAAGCCGACGATCAGGAACTGTGGGGCAAGCCAGTAGACGCTCATGGATGTGGAGCCTGTTAGAGGGTTCTGCCGAACGACACCCAGCCTCCTGTGCTCGACCACAGCGGCCACGGCCATCGTCACAACTGAGAAGAACATACCGATCCCAATCCTCTGGAGGATCTTGATGCCGCGCTCTGAGCCCGTCGTACGCCGCAGTGCCGGCACGAGCGCCTTCTCGTAGAGGGTGACGGAGATGATCATCCCAATCGCGGCTAGTGCGTAGATTGAGGCCGGGGGGATCAGGAAGCCGCCAACCTTCCGGTCGAGGGTCGTGCCCTGCTTGATGAAGAAGGTCGACGCTTGCGCAATGCATACGCCGAACGGCAAGGTGGCTAGCCAGATGGGGATCATGTTCAGGATCAACTTCATCTCCTCAACCTCGGTCACACTTGCAAGCCTCCATGGATTTATTTGCTTCTCAGTTGAACTTTCATTTCCCTCAACAATAGCAGCCTTGTCTAGGAACCTGATATAGAAGTCAATCAAATCAAAATTGGATCAGACTAGAGAGATATTAGATAAAAATCAACTGAGATTTCACGATGTTCTCTGTTTCAGATATCCCTTTTATATGCATATAGAGGCGAGAAATTGCAATGTGCTATCTTCGTGTGAAAATAACATTGACCTAGATTATGTGTATGAGCTTACTTAAGGGTCTTGGTGTGGCACAAAAGCCTGCCTTGTGGCTTTTCGGACTTTGAGACTTCATGCAATTCTGACGGATCCGAAGGATGAGGAAGATTTCTCTTGGCAATAGCTGCCACCAGAACTTGCAACATCGGGGTCAAGGGGCTTCCCGTCGGCGACCGATACCGATAGTAGGGCCTTCCAATGATGAAAATCACCAGAGACATGGCCATGACAGCGGTGAGGAGAATGTCGGCAGCACCCCAGTTGACGTGGTCCTGCACGTAGACGACCACTGTGACGCTGAGCAGGAGCCCGCAGCAGAGGCCGAAGTTCCACCAGTTGAAGTAAGACATCTTCTTCTTCCTCTCCTGGGGGTGGTTGTCGTCGAACTGGTCGGCCCCGAAGCTCTCGAGCGAGGGCTTGTGGCCTCCTGTCGCAATTGATATCAAGTAAATGGCCAGGAAAAACACGACCTCATGCTCTTTCCTGGGTTCCTGGCACATGTGGCCAGGCTCGCAAGCCTTCAGGCTCGGGACAAACCAGGACATCGTCAGGAGAATCAGACCCTGCCATTTACCACATCGAGAGTTGGTTAAAATCGGATTGGGCCCAATAATTATCCGTAAACATTAGCATTTATCGAGTTACATATATGTACCAGGAGGTAGATGATCACGGAGATGAAGACCGTGGAGTAGCGGCCCAAGTAGGCATCGGCTATGAATCCGCCGAGAAGGGGCATCAGAGTGGTGACACCAGACCAGTAGTTGACGCTCTTCGCTGCTGTCTTAATGTCCTGGTGAATCACCCTGGTGAGGTATAGAATCAAGCTCGTGGCTATGCCAAAGTAACTCAGCCTCTCGCTGAACTCTATCGCTGCATAATTTTTATCGTTTTGTCAGAAAGGAAAAATTTTGTTGGCAGAATGTAATTACTCATTACTAGAATGTGTAGTCTCAGAAATGTATATGATGGCTTCAATTGATCGCACTATGGTCCAAACACGACGTACTGTTTGTGTCCACTGACTAGGGACAACTATTATTGAAATCTATATGATTGGTCGGTGGCGCTCTATGTTATTAAATTTTGGGCAATTAATGTTCGAGAATCGCAGAAACCATACGATATATTATGTGACCAACCAAGTCAACAGCTGTAGGAATAGAATATTAGGAATTTTAACGGGGGAAAAATCACGTAAGAATGGAGTATACATGCTAAACTGAATCTTGATCATTGAAGATGGTGGATCTCACGTGAATTTCATTAGATCTGATGATCCAGATTAAATTTAGTATATCTACAGTAGTATATCTACAGTCACGGGACACTTTCTCTATACATGGGTCCAACTCCACATGAGTGATTTGTGTACCCCCGCATGATTGACCTTTCATATTCTCATTTAAACTTTATGTGCTTTTGTGGATTTGAGAGTATATATGCATTCCTAAACCAAGAAATAGAGCACTAGTCACTGTTGGATGCACATGGTGAGCTTGGGCCACCAAGCAAAAAACCCTCATAGTACTCGAGAATTTCTGTGTTCTGTCGAGAACCTAGAACCGGATAAGCATAACCAAGATAGAAATCTTTTTGTACGAGGAAGATGCCTATAAAGCTTTGTCAATTGAAATCCAAGGAACCCAAAAGGAGCATAAGCCCAAAAAAAGGCAGGGAGAAGCAAGTGGCCAACTGATCTTATTCGATACAGCTGCTGAAGTTGATGGATCCTTTGAAGAGAACTGTTCGATGACAAGAAGGAGAGATATTTTTCAAAGAAATTAACAGTGTCGTTAAGCAATTGTTTTCACGCGCTAGGGGTAGAGGACTCAATGCATGCATCTATCACGAGGATTCTACACTTCAAAGGAAGATTGGGTTTCAATAACTCCATCCTCTCTTAAAAAATAAAAAACCCGAAAAGAATAGAGAAAAATTTAGCATAGGAATTTATAATGAAAATGATAAGTTTCAAGAGAATGATCCGGAGACTTCAATCAAAGGAACTTCGGTATGAACAGAGATTCTGTATATATTACCAAATTTTCCCTCCGGCATAAATAAGGCAATTATTCCATAGGTTATCTTGTAGAGTGCCTAAAATGCTCGGGAAAGACATTTATAAAAGAGTTTTAAGTTTCGAAAGATTGATTATATATTTTACATAAAATAAAAACAACACTTTTGACCTGGACGTGTAGTCAATAGAGAAGATCGTTAAATTCAATTAATAGTCGTCTCGAACTGGTCCTCAAAGAAATTAGACTTTCCCTTTCCTCTCCACCATGACCCACAAATAAATTTTGCTTTTTTTGGGAGATTGAGCACCGATCAAAATCTGCCTTGTCTACGATTGGATCAGCACGAAAACCCTGTGGCCACTTTTTCTGATAATGGTGAAAGTTCTCAGGTCCGCGGATTCCAAGTGTTGTTACGCTTTTAGCCATACATCAGGGGTCATCACTATTCAACGCAATCGCAATCACGCACACTAGAGAAAAGAGCAAATATGCGTTTTCCTCTAATTGGACTATGCAAAGAAAGCTGCTTTAATGATTCTGTAAACTATGAAATTTTCCTAAGGGTGGGCCGAGCTTCCTCCTCTAGATAATATATATCCGATTCAAAGAAGACATCCGTATATTAAGGGCAATAACATATATATATATATATATATATATATATATATATATATATATATGTGTGTGTGTGTGTGTGTGTGTGTGTGTGTGTGTGTGTGTGTGTGTAAATATATACTAGAATAAGCATTTTTATTTTAAAACATCAAATATGCAGAGAAATATATAAAATACCAACAAAAGTATTCTACATCGAACATACGTACATATGTATATAGTAAAGTAGCACAATAAGAATGCTCACTCTTCGTGAAATGACACACTATTCTTTTGAAGAGAATAAAAGGTGGGTTCACAGAATTTGTAACACACAAGGATTAGTGGTGCATGGGAATTGTCACAATGCTTCCAATATTAATTTTCAGTGGCCTAGGGGAGCAAATGCAACTTTAGAGAGAGAGAGAGAGAGAGAGAGAGAGAGAGAGAGAGAGAGAGAGAGAGAGTTGCTTGTGTTGTAAGCTTTAATGGGGCTATAGTTTACGTTGTAAATATTCCTCAGCAATAATGAAGTGAGATATGTAGTAGATATTCCTCACCAATGATGAACAGAGAGGCCTTCCAAACCCCTGTGGAAGCTCGAAGAGGGGCTCTTCCTTTATAATCCAGAGAAGAATCATGAACCAATTCCTCCTGATCGTTATCCCGATGATGAACTGCGTATCTTGCTTCAGTTGATCCATTTCTCTTCTCCATCTTTCTTTTTTCAGCTCGAAGAGAGAGAGAGGGGGGGGGGGGGATTGGAAGAGGGGAGAGAGAGAGAGAGAGAGAGAGAGAGAGAGAGAGAGAGAGAGAGAGAGAGAGAGAGAGAGAGAGAGAGAGAGAGAGAGAGACAGAGAGCGCTTCAATGACCTAAGTTTAACTTAAGATGTGATGTTAGGACTTTGGGATGGTTGTGAAGGACAAGCCACGCTTTGGAGCTCCTTTTATAGAGAGGGGAGAATGGCCTTTGGGACTGGGGGAGGGTTGAAGTTGAGATTCCAAAAACTGTAGGTATGAACTGGGAGGAGAGTTCTCAGCCTAAGAATTCGGCGGTACTTGATTGTGAAGAGAGAGAGAGAGAGAGAGAGAGAGAGAGAGAGAGAGAGAGAGAGAGAGAGAATGTCTTCATTTTTTCAATCCACTTAGAAGACGTGGCTGTTGGTGTCTAGATGGGAATGGCATCCGTGCCCAATAGGAGCTTTTCCCTACCGCACTTGGACCAAAGTCAGCAAGAAAAGTGGCTTACCCTTAGAAAAAAACAAAAAACAAAACAAAAGAAGAAGATGAAGAAGAATATAGTGGATATTGCATAGGCCCAACAGTGTAATTTTTAGATAGTGCTACTGTTCTTATCTTAAATTCACCTTAAATGCGAATCAAGGAAAACAACTAAGAAACCTCGAATTATAATGTGCTCGAGGGGAGTGTTGCTTATTTTTCAGTTTCAAAGCCCATTTTAATTGGCTTAATTCCAAAAAAAGCACCAACTTTAGGTCGATGGACAATTCTGATCCAAACTTTTTTTTGTCCAGTAAAAAAACACTAACTTTAGGTCGAGAGATAATTCTGGCCTGAACTTATTTTTGTCCCATAAAAAAGCACAAACTTTAGGTCGAGAGACAATTCTTGCTCGAACTTTTTTTTGTCTCATAAAAAAGCACAAACTTTAGGTCAAGTGACAATTCTGGCCCCAACTTTTTTTTGTCTCGAAAAAAAGCACCAATTTTCACTTAAATCCCAAATATGGCCCCCATTGACTTAGAACCATTGATTATTTAACTTAATTATTCCACCTTAGCAATAAATCCGTATGGCTTGTTGACTGAATTTAAAGCAGTATTCATTGTCTTATTTTCTGAGCCACAGCTTGAAAAATAACGGTGAAATTATTCGTCTCATTCACTTCACCAGTAAGTGAAAAATATCTCCAGATTGAATCTCTCTGGTCAGATGTAATCTGAAGCTGACCACTGCTTGTCGACATACGTCATGGACGAGATTCGCCAAGCTCACTACCATAACCTTTTTTCTCAAATAAGGATGACTTCAGACAGAAAGTCAACGGGGGCCAGATTTGGGATCATGGTGAAAGTTGGTGATTTTTTATGAGACAAGAAAAAAATTGGGGCCAGAACTGTCACTCGACCTAAAGTTGATGCTTTCTTACGGGACAAAAAAAAATTTGGGCCAGAATTGTCCCTTGACCTAAAGTTGGTGCTTTTTTTTGGAATTAGGCCCATTTTAATTAGTGAAACATGGAATTTTTTTGAAGAACATGAATTTTCTACTTTCGATGGCGCTCACATCCTACTTATTGAATTATGGTAAGTGTTCCATTTCATGCGAGTTTAATCACATCCAAGTTTATGCGAGATGGAAAAAGATCCTAACACACACAAAAATGTTTAGGGTTTTTTGGATTGGGATGCACTCGCGTTCTCTTGATTGTGTAAATTAATAGAGCAACGTGCAATTTAAGATGCTTTTCATCTCGGAGAGCATGTGGCAATAAATCGAGGGTGTGACATATGACTTGAGGCAGGCGATCTGCATCCATATAACCATATCCAATCAGATCAAATCTTTAATGAGAAACGATTGAGTGACAGTTTTTAATTTACTGTGAGATTAACAGTATGTTTTAAATCACCAAAAAAATAGATAACATTAAATTATAAGTTGTTATGAGATCCACTCCTTTAAGAATTTGTGGCTCAAAACATAACGTTACTTTCAAAGTGGCCCAAAGACTATTATATAAGCAAAGCCCGATCCTAATAAACCTTCCACTCATTCTTCTTCTTCTCTTCTCCCCTTCTACCTCCACCTTCACCTCCACCACCTCATTTGACCGCGTCCATTTTCAGTGGAGCTACCATCGCCTCCTCTAGGATAGATGGTGGCACCATTTTGACTCTCTCTCTCTGCCTCTCCCTCTCCCTCTCTCTCCGCCACCAGTAGATATCAACGAGGTCTTGGTGCTTCCATCAAGAACTCACAGATATCTTGGCTTTGCTCTCGATCTTGACGGCCATGCACAAATCTGGAGAAGGTTCTTTAGACTTGGAGGTCCATTTTCTTGATCTCTCGTAGTAGTCGATGAGTGGCTTGTAAATAATGGCGAGTAGAGTTTAACACTGGTTGAGCTACGCTAGAGAGAGAGAGAGAGAGAGAGAGAGAGAGAGAGAGAGAGAGAGAGAGAGAGAGAGAGAGAGAGAGAGAGAGAGTAAAATACTTCACAGATTTTGCTAAGGTATGTATGTGTATAATGGATATAATGGATGGGACTAGGGTATAAGTTGGCAGGTCTAGGTTCCAGTAATTTCAAACCACTTAAATTTGGAGAAGCCACGTCTAGAACTTACAAAATTATGGTGAAAGTGGGGCGATTAGAGTCGAGCCAATTAGACTGGGCCTGTTTGGTTTAGCATTGCAAATGAGTTTGTGACTCTAAAGTCCCTCGGCCAAATGCAATGGTGTTTGGTTCGTTTTTTGCTCAACTTGAGGGAAATGCAATTGCAGGCCTTTGATACAACGTATGTCCGGAGGTCCTTTGGAAAGTAGTATTCTGATAATGCAAAGTCTTGGCATTGTTCACTGTTCATTGGTACTGTTGATCTTTCCCATTTGCGTGACCGAAGTTGGATGGAGGTCGGCGGTCCCTGCTGGAGGGGTCGCGCCACCCTGGCGACCGTTGTTGGAGGGTCGCGCGACCCCAAGCGACGTCACCTTAGGTAGGGCGACCTCAGGCGAGGCTTGTCGGTGGCCGTTTTGGTGTCCCGGCATCTGAGCTCCACCAGAAATAGTTTGAGACTTATTTAAAAAAAAAATTAGCAAAAGTCCTTAACAAAATGTAGTTTTTACCAAACGGCATTTAAGTCAAAGTTATATCTTAATATATTTTTAAAATACACTTTACCAAACACTACTTGCATTTCGGAAAATCCCTTTGGCCCAAAGGCATTTCCATTTTCACAAAGACATTCCCCCAAAACCGAACCAAACAGGCCCTCAATCTTGACTTGAAGTGACTTTATCAATTTGATTATACAATATTGATGATTTTAATCTCTACGGTTCTCTACTGATATATGTTTTATTTGTCTGGTTTGGATACATTATTGCATGGAGTAATTAGTGTGGTAGGATGGGTATGATTTTTTTCGCGAAGACATATAGTTGGCTGAAGATAGGTTTATGTATTGTCCAAAAAAAAAATGTCGGGATTCTAAGATAACTTTTGCATGTCTTATCGTTATTTAAAAGAATCATGACAAAAAGTTTCCTAGGAAAGCATACTTAATTTGGAATAATTATATTTTCAAAAGTGTAGATTAAACATTATAACAGAACAGCTGTTGCATTAAAACCAAAAAAACAATAATTCTTAATTACTTACTTGATAAGCGTCCCTGCCGTACTTCTGAACAAAACCTATCTTAGAGATCTTTCTGTCAACCTCCCACCAAAGGAGGTTTGGGTTATTCATATAATGACCTAAATTCATGCATGATGCATTTACTTTTCCATTCCTGCGACAATGCTTATATCAATGTCACACCTTTTCTTTTTTTTTTTGCTAAACGTCACACCTATAATTGAGCACTATAGGACTCTTTTTTCTTTTATAAAGAGCATGCATGCATCTTGGTGATAAATTTAAAGTTAGGATGCAATGAAGTATGCATTGTCCGGTACATTTTTTGATCAGCAAAATCAGTGGGAACGAGTAATCGGCGTTGGCGCCTCCACTAGACATTATCATAAGAGTTTCACATCTGCGACAGAATATTGTCCGATACATTTTCCAAAAACAAAAAGGCCAGCTAATTGACCGATAGGCTAAAAAGCACGAGGTAATTCCAACAATTTATTTGCAGTCATGTTTCTAGATTTGTTAGGATATGGATTACAGGAACAAATGTAGTTGAATGGGATAGCAAGCGGGTTACACGTTCCACTGTGCCGAGATGTGAGGTCCAGGTGGTTATGATCACCCCGGGGTATGCGCTAGCGCCCTTGATAGGCACTCCAGGACTAGCCAACGCTCATGCGAACCTGGGTTGGTCGGTCCTCCATTCATCAACCGGAGGTGTGGATAACGAGGCCTCTTTCACAACCTTCTCCCTTATGTCCCTATGCTGTAGTAAGGTAGGGCGGTTCCCTTGAGTTGCTCAACCGCCACTTAGCTCGGTGCTCATGATGCGCTTTGGAACCTTCAATGTGCCGGGGGACCAAGTAGGGCATAGTTAGCGGCATAGGAGCCTACTCAACCATAGTAATTTGGAAACCTTTGTAGTATTGAACAATCTTCATTAGAAAATATTTATCTAATTCCGAAAAAGATAATATCTTCCTCCAATCATGATGGGAGAAAATTGTTTTGCTAGCATAACAATCTTTGGGCCATTGTGAAAGAAGCATTATATTGTGAGCTACAAATTCTTGAAAGAGTGAACCCCACAATAATTTAAAATTATTTGTTATTTATTTTTTTGTAGTCCAAAATAGACTATTATTCTCACAGTATATTAAAAACTGTCATCCAATCGTTTCTTCGAAGAAAAATATGGCGTTCGAAAAAACAGCATGTTTTTCTTGTTGTATCTTGGGATTCTGTCTACTTTTTTTTGTGGCCATAGTTTGAAAACAACTACTTCTGCTGCAAGCCAAAAATCCTTTTCCAAAGAGCTACTCTTTCTCACTGATTCCAAAGACCTAAGGCGTGTGTGATAACCATTCTGCTTCTTTATTTTTTTATTTTTCTGTTCCCGGAAACAAGTTTGGAATAGAAATCCGTTTGGTAACTGTTGACACCTAAATTTTGGCGATCCATTTAGGTACATATTGCATAGGAAAATTAGGAGTCGATCCCGACACCTAGCAAAAATATTCGTTAAATTGCATATAGATATTAGGAGCATTTCATTAATAGGCCCATATAGTTTGGATATTTACCGGACCGGCGGTGAATGGACTCGAGTGAACGGCTCTGAACTTAATGAAATTGGACTAAGCCCGCGTTCAAAAAAAAATTTCTTGGCCAAGCCCATGAACATTGTAAGAGCAGAAATTTTCATTGGAAAATGTCGAGTTGAAAAATATTAGTTTGGATATTATCGTGATTTAAATTGAACAAATTGATTTGATAATATCATATATTGCAATATCTTCTTTGAATCGAAGTAGGAAATAATTGCAAGCAAAAAAACCCTACACTTTACCTATAAATATTCATTAAGGGTTCACAAAAAGGAGGGGGGATACCACTTACATACTCGGCCACATCGTGAGACGCAAGAGCAAGGAGCGAGAGAGAGAGATATGGCTTTTGTTCTTTCTGCCTAAGGCTCAACTCACGAGGGTCAAGGTGGAGAGCAAAAGCTCTCCACGTTCTGCACTCATAGAGAAGCCAAAGGAGAAAACGCAAAAGGGGAGATAGTTTCTGGTCATCTTCCATATGCAGTAAACCCCAAAGAGTGCTTTCGGGGGAGCCCAGACGGTCAAAGGTCAAAGAAAAATTGGTTCTTTCTCTCTTTCTCCTCCCTGGGCAAGCCGCGTCCTTTGCCCAAATTCCAGACGTTTTCTGCAGCTTTCCTCGACGCCCCCAGCCATCGTTCGACGCAGCAGGCATCCTGGACGCCTCAGAACAGTGAGCCCAGCGACGTTTATCAGATCGCGTTGCCGTTTTTCCTGCCTCGACGACGACGTGGTTATTCCCCGCTGTTGATCCGGCAACGCTCCCCGGCCGACAGTCCCTTCGCTGCACCACGACGATAACGCTCTCACCCGCAACGCCGAGTCCTTGCATCGCCGCTTCGCACCGGTGCTACTCCACGGCGACCTATTGCTGCTCTTGGGCCTGCTTTGTCTCGCTGCATGTTGGCCACTTGATTACGTGACGACATTGCATTTTTTCGGTTGTCCGCTATCATCGTTTCTGTTTCGTAGGTTGGCTGAGCTCTAAGACGCATCTTGAACCAAGCATCCCAAACCGTGAGTCCTGCCTACTGCCTCTACGAGCAGCGTCACAAGTTGTAGTCCGAGAAGTCCACGCCGTAGGTTGTCCCTTTACGACCGAGCACTACCGTCGTGCATCGCTATCCACGTCCGAGAATCGCTACCGCTGCCGGTCCGCTAGCCACCATCCCGATCTGCAAGCCCGAGTTCGATCCGAGTTCAAATTTGGAATTATCCGCCAATTAGGTAAGATTATCCGAATATTTCTCTTAAATATTTAATTTCCTAGTTTTCGGGTGTTTGAATATTTCGTGAATATTTTGGTGGATAGCTAGATATCTTAGGGTAATTTTGTGATATCCGCAATATTTGAAAATACCCAAAATTAGGAATCATTCCTAATTTGGCAACGTATCTGAACGACTATCCGACCTTATCCCTAAGGTACGATACGCGGCGATACGGAAAATCGTTATCTTGTCCATAATCACTTGGATACGATAATAGATTTAATTTGCTTTCCAAATTTAAACAATCAACTTTCTGTCGATATCTATAACCCTATAGATATGACCGTTAGCTTGATTTCTTTGCCTTATCTGAATTTGAAGAATCTTGCGGATTGCGTGGATTGTTTGAATGTGATTGGTATTTTTGTTTGATTGTTTTCCTTTTAAATAAAGAAAATCTTAAAAAATTGTTAGTTAGATTTAAATTAGAAATTGTTTTAATCTTAGTGGATTATTTAGGATATTTAATAATTTCGAATTTTAATAAAAATCCCAAAAAAAAAGAATCACTTTAGGATAGATCAAATCATTTTCTCTAGGATAGATTGCATGTTAATTTGAGTAATTTTTAATTCCGAATTTCATTTGAAAATACCAAAAATAAATCATTTTTCCGTCATTAGAATTAGGTCACGTCGTCGCATGACATATAGTTTGCATGTTAGGCTGCATTAATCGCATGTTAATTTTTGCACGTCATTACATATAGGTTAGCTTTCATTTAAATAAGTGAAAATCCTAAAAAAATATTGAGTGAACTACTTGTTAATTAGAAATCATATTAGGATTGTTGATGTGATTTTCTAGCTAACAACGCAGATGCTTACGTTGCTTCGAGGTAAGTAATTCTCCCGATCTTGCAATTTATTGATTATTGAGTGTTACTTTGGTGGTTTGCGCACCCGCATGATCACCTCACATGTTAGTGACTAAGTTAAAATGGATCCAGACCGCATGCATAAACATTTTTTGAAAAGTAAAGGTACCGAAAGGGCGTTAGATTAGATCTAGCGTAATCAAGTCCCCGAGCTTAGAATCTCTGGTTCGTAGGAATAAAACATATCTCCCTATGTTTTATTTAGGTTTCTAATCGACCTACCACAAATAGATTAGTGGCGACTCCAAGCATGAAAACTTTTGCATGTTAAAAACTTAAATCCTAAGTTGCGAATTGGTAGGGCTTGGGAGGGCTCGAGTTAAGCTTAGACTTAATAATCCATTAGCCCGAGAGAAATTTTTGGTCGCGACAGCTTGGCGACTCCGCTGGGGAATTGAGTTAAAACTCTTAGTGGACTTAGGCCAGTTTTTCTTTTCAAAAAATATTTTTTGCTTGGCAGCGAGGATCCCAGGTACGTCCCTAACATTTTAGGTGTTAAATGTTTTTGCAGACTGGGAGGTATAAGGGGAGGCGTGATTGTTAACCCTTGTTTTGCAGGGAGGTGTTTGGATGTATGGTTTATTTTATGTACGAAGAGCTGTATGATATAACTTGTTGTGCATGCCTTGCATTTCACTACACCGCACACACTACCCGCTGCCGGACCTGGGCAGCACAGGTTTAGGATGGTACCGAGACAGCGGACACCCCGACCACACCCGCGTGGTATGGGTCGCCCTCCTTGGTCCCGAAAGTTTTTTCACGGTGTCATTGAGTTCCCACCACGGTTGCACCCTTTGCAACCCGGGTCGGCTCTTTGACTAAGCCGGAGTCAGGGGAACCTCGGTCTAACCACAACCATGACTGGTTTAGCCCGGTAATCCTCGCGTCTCCATTTTGTAAGCCAGAGTCTAGATAGAAATCGAACCTCACATTTCATGCGCGTGTCTATGTGATTGCCATGTCCTACCGGGTAAAGTAAGTCTTCTGAACTCTCCTTTTTGCAATTTATTTAGTTATTGCATCTTTCGGGTCGGTCCATGATAGGTATAGGTCGGTTTTTAATTTGAAAGTAATAATCATTGAGTCCTTTTTTTTAAAACAAAAAAAAGAAGAAAAAAGAAAGCTCTTTTGGAGAATTATTTTCAATCTATGTCTTTATTTTCTTGGATGTGTCATAGGTCATTATTTCCTGAGAAATTTGCCATCATTTTCACAAGTACATGGAGTAATGAAAAATGTCACGAAAAATGGGAATAAAAAGGGACAATTAGACTGAGTCATGGACTGATCGTTTTGAGGACGTATACTTACCATGCTCTATTTTTTAATTAGGTTATTACGGACCGTCAACGTTCCCCAATCCGTACTCGCTCAAGAGCAAAAATGACTGACCAAAATGAACAGACTCGTGTGGCTGTCCTTGAAACCGAGATGAAGCAAGTCCTGAATGTGCTCGAGAATCTCACCAAACAAGTTACTTCTCTCTGAGACAAGCATTTCCACACCGTCCGCACCCACTCAACCGAGCGTAGAGATTGTACGCCCGATGACTCTCCTCCTGTTGAGTCAAAAGATAAGGGAAAAACTGTTGCCATTGGCACTTCCTCGACCGAGAATGGTGCAACTTTAACTGACAAAGCTCGTCCGATCATTACAGATGGGGGCGATGCATCTTCTAAGCCATCAAAGAGTGATGAGGCTGAGCGTATTGATAAGCTTGAAGAAAAATTCCGGCAAATGCAAGGTTTTGATGATCAATTCTCACGAGGTCTTGCTCACATTGTCAAGGTTCAAGTCCCTAAGAAGTTCAAGGCGCCTGAGTTTAATAAGTTCGATGGCCTTTCCTGTCCTAAGGTCCATTTACAATACTACACGACGAGGATGGCGCCGTATGCTGATAATGTGCCACTCATGATCCACACTTTCCAAGATAGCTTAACCGGACCCCCCTTACAATGGTTCGTTTTGAAAAAGATTCATTCGCTCAAGACATGGGAGGATTTGTCTGATGCTTTCATTCGTCAATACAAATTCAATATTGACGTGGCCCCGTCACGTGAGGATTTGATTCGCACTGAGAAGAAAAAGACCGAGACCTTCAAGGCCTATGCTACTAGGTGGAGAGCTCTAGCTGTGCAAATTACCCCCGAGTTGACTGAGAAGGAGATGCTTGATACCTTCATGAAGACTTTACCGTTCGAGTTTCGTAATCGAATGTTGGGTTCTAATTTCAATTCTTTAGCTGAGTTGATACCAGTGGGAGAACGCATTGAGATCGCTCTGCGCGATGGTTGGGCCACTGAGCAGGCTACCTCTGCTAAGAAGTTCACCCTCAAGAAGGATAAGGAACCGACACCTGAAGTGAATGTAGCTTACTCTCAACAAAGCCGTGACACTGCCTCGACAATACAGTCTGTTGGCAAACAACAAGGTGGACGCCAATTCACTAGTCGGCAACAAGGTACTAAAAGGAACTTCACGCCTCTGCCTGGGCCGTTATCCAAAGTTCTGCCTGTTCTCCAAAAGAAAATTTTGCTTTCAAGTGAGCCGAAACGCCCGAACCCCGAGCGGTTCTCTAGTTATGACTCCTCTAAGAAGTGTGAGTATCATATGGGGGAGGTCGGTCATTCTACTGATGATTGTTACGTACTGAAGCATAGAATTCAAGACCTCTTGGACACAAAGGCATTCTCTTTCCGCAGTGATCAACCAAATGTCCAGCGGAACCCTCTACCCAACCATGCTGGAAGCACGGATGCTGTTATTGAGTAGAGAAATTTCTGTTTTTATACTCCTCTGCGAAGGAGTCTTTCATGCTTTCTAGGATTTCAAGTATTTTCTAGGATTTCCTGCTTTCTAGGATTTCAATTCATGTTTATGTTTTGATTCGTAGGGCATTGATTATTTGCATTTCCCTTCCAATAATGTAATTCATTTGATTCTATTCAATGAAATTACAAGTTTGTTTTCATTTTGAGGACATGTTAAAGTATATTAAACTAGCCCGGTGATGATATCCAACCATGAAAAGAAAATATCATCCAAGGAGAAATTCTGAGGGCTGGGTTTTCTCATGCTCCCTCCAAAAAAAAGACTTTCCGAAAATAAAAAGCATTTCATTGTTTTTATAAAAAAAAAAAACCTTTTTCCAAATCATGCATCAAATAAACCCTGTTTGTTCGTCTGACTCATTTACCTCATGTCTCAGAGCATAATACTCTAGCTTGTTGTGATAAGAAAATGACACATCCAGTTCAATGATGATGAACCCATTGGTCCAATTGAGAGCTAACAAAGCCTTCGAAGGAAAGTGAGCTTGCAAAGACTTATCTGGGGGCAATGAATCATAACTTGATTTGGTTTGGTGCTATATCTGGAAAGCCAGAAAAGGAGATGACAAATCGGGGGCATGACAGACTCCTGTAGCGGCCATTGAGATAATTCCTTGGACAATCGAAATTTACTAAGTCTCATTTTGCGTTACATAGAATCCTATTCATGCACGTTCTCTTGTGCAGGGGCAAAAGCAACGATGGAGCATTCATGTGTCCATTCCTTCTAAATAGGGGCAATCAAAGGGCTCCCATTCCAAAAATGTCTCTCTGTGTTGATGTTCTCACACTTTTTGCAGGAACCATTTATTTTGAATGCTCAATGCCATATTTTTCATGCTTATGATGAGATTTTTTAGTATGATAAATATGTTCGGAAGTTACAAACTTTTTGTGCTTGAACTTGATAAGCTTGTGAAATGATCATATCTTTCAAGGAAAAGAAATTTTGCTTGGTAAGTTTACCTATTTGACTCATCAATTTTATGTTGAAATTTGTCAAGATGGACAATTCAATGAATGATGTGGAATTGCTTGAGTATGCTAAATGATATATGTTGGGATGATGAAAGGCAAGCCACATCTTATACACCTTCCCCTATTCATACACTTGTGGGATGAGTGGAAAAATTGCATGTTCATAAGGTAAAGGGTTATCTCGCGAAAGGTACGACTACCGAAATGACGAGAGGCGGTTCATTTCTCTATCCCAAATACTACAAGTTATCCATTGTTTCACCACTTTGAGCCCAAACACTTGGAGAAGTTTTTTCAAATTACCCCTGTCAAGAACCACCCCACATCGGGGTAAACTGGAGGTAAGTCGACATCGTAAGGTAAGAAAAATGGATAGAAATTTTCTTACTCACACTTGCATCAATCTTCAAGTGTTGCTATTGCAAATGAACTCAAACATTAATTCAAGTGCCTTAGAATGATGAAGAGCGGTTCTTTCTCTATCCTACACACTTTATCCATTGCTTAGCCCACTTGAGCCTGCAATTTCATTTCATAAAAATCCAGTTGGTGATCATCCCCCACACTGGGGCAAGGTAAAAGCCATCATTGTCCATGCAACATATCCGGAGTGCCAATAGAAGACGAAGACCCTGAGAGTCCAAATGTTAGTCATTCGGTCAAAATAAGCCAAAGTGTGGTTGGCTAATGTATGCATTGTAGACAGTGTGTGTCAAAAGTTTAAAAAAAAAAAATGAAAGCTAAGGGGCATAAAAAAGCAGTGTGCCAGGTAAAAGCAAGGCCATGCCCATGAAAAAAGAAAAGTCGAAAAAAAAAGGGAAGAACTTTAGAGAAAAAATGTCAAGATATGACATGTCAAAGTCATGAATCCCAGTGGATCAGTGGTCTTACAAGTCTCGAAGGAATCAAGTGGTGAACTCAAGACTGATAGTACATCTATCAAGAAGACAATTCTTCAAGGCAAAGAAGAAAACCGGTGATTATGCCTAGATGATCACCAACTCTCACCCTTATACACATTTCTTAGCCTGATATATACTTTCGTTTCTTGAACCATGAACCTAGCCTACGTTACGTCCCTTGCAAAGTCTCTTCGGATTAGGGCACTTGAATTAACGTAGAATTCAGATGTTTATAAGCTTAGCTCGAAGAAGTGCGAGCAAGTCTATTTTTATCTCATTTTGCAGGGTTCTTGACTTGTAAACCCGAAGATGATTGCAGAGTATTTTCTTTCAATAGCCCCGACTCGAAGAGTCTCCTTTGTTAAGCCATTGACTAAACCGACACCACGTTCCTGACAAAGACCTCTCAGATTGGTAAGGTTGTACCGCTTGCGAGAATACTCGGACCCTTATCAACATGATGATGGTGAGATGGAGTGATTCTCATAAAATAGCCCTTCTGAATGAGAGTGAGTGAAAGCCCTTTTTAACTGAAAGTCTCTCATTTAGCATTCTTAAGAAATCCACGTTATAAGTGAAAATTGTCTTAATGATAATTCTCCCTAGTGGAAATTTGGTTATGCAAATATGGTAAAACCATCATGCATAAACCTCAATTGAATTAATGAATTTTGAAATGTGTGTTCTAGAGTAGCCGTGATTGCTAATCTCTTTTATGAATGAATATGTGTTTTTGCTCTAGTCATGTCCGACAGGTAATGTTTCCTCGAAGACTGAAGAGTTCCTGACGCTTGAGTTGCTATCTGAAGCTTCGAATTTGTTTAAATATTTTTCAACATTCAAATATCTGATTGAAGTTTCAGTTATCATTTCCGAAAATCCGAAGGGAATTTTCGATTCTATTAATCATATCTCGATTGCGGTTTGCCAGATATCTTTTCGAAGATCCGAAGGGAATCATCGAACCCATTCAAATACCGATTGAAGTTTCAGGTATTATTTCCGAAAATCCAAAGGGAGTTTTCGATCCTATTAATCATATCTCGATTGCAAGCCAGATATCTTCTCGAAGATCCGAAGGGAATCATCGAGCCCATTCAAGTATCTCGATTGAAGTTTCAGATATCATTTCCGAAAATCCGAAGGGAGTTTTCGATCCTATTAATCATATCTGATTGCAGTTTCAGATATCTTCTCAAAGATCCGAAGGGAATCATCGAGCGCATTCAAGTATCTGATTGAAGTTTCAGGAATTTTTCTTGAAAGTCCGAAGGGAATTATTCGATACCTTTCATCGAAAATCCGAAGGGAATTTTCGAGCCCATCTCATCTCAAGCATCTTCTCTGAAAATCCGAAGGGAATTTTCGAGCTTTCAAATACTATTGGGAATTCCAGATACTTGGCGGGTTTCGAAAGCTGATCCATACCCCAATTTTGCTTTTCCAAATCTTCAGGTAAGTAAATGCAGGTATGTTTTCTATTTTTGCATTTGCATTTTCATATCATATTAGAAAATGGGTGTGGGCTCATTGAGATCCCATTTACTCGACAAAAAGATTAATTTTTCTCATTGCATTTGCATAGTCAAATTTTAGGTATCATTTTATCTTTGAATGAAACCTCTTCGAGCTCCCCTTCAAAGAGGGGCAGCTGTTGACACCTAAATTTTGGCGATCCATTTAGGTACATATTGCATAGGAAAATTAGGAGTCGATCCCGACACCTAGCAAAAATATTCGTTAAATTGCATATAGATATTAGGAGCATTTCATTAATAGGCCCATATAGTTTGGATATTTACCGGACCGGCGGTGAATGGACTCGAGTGAACGGCTCGAACTTAATGAAATTGGACTAAGCCCGCGTTCAAAAAAATTTCTTGGCCAAGCCCATGAACATTGTAAGAGCAGAAATTTTCATTGGAAAATGTCGAGTTGAAAAATATTAGTTTGGATATTATCGTGATTTAAATTGAACAAATTGATTTGATAATATCATATATTGCAATATCTTCTTTGAATCGAAGTAGGAAATAATTGCAAGCAAAAAAACCCTACACTTTACCTATAAATATTCATTAAGGGTTCACAAAAAGGGGGGGGGATACCACTTACATACTCGGCCACATCGTGAGACGCAAGAGCAAGGAGCGAGAGAGAGAGATATGGCTTTTGTTCTTTCTGCCTAAGGCTCAACTCACGAGGGTCAAGGTGGAGAGCAAAAGCTCTCCACGTTCTGCACTCATAGAGAAGCCAAAGGAGAAAACGCAAAAGGGGAGATAGTTTCGGTCATCTTCCATATGCGAAACCCCAAAGAGTGCTTTCGGGGAGCCTAGACGGTCAAAGGTCAAAGAAAAATTGGTTCTTTCTCTCTTTCTCCTCCCGGGCAAGCCGCGTCCTTTGCCCAAATTCCAGACGTTTTGCAGCTTTCCTCGACGCCCCAGCCATCGTTCGACGCAGCAGGCATCCCGGACGCCTCGTAAGTGAGCCCTGCGACGTTTATCGATCGCGTTGCCGTTTTCCCGCCTCGACGACGACGTGGTTATTCCCCGCTGTTGATCCGGCAACGCTCCTGCCGACGCCTTCCGCGCACCACGACGATAACGCTCTCACCCTGCAACGCCGAGTCCTTGCATCGCCTGTTCGCACCTAGGTGCTACTCCACGGCGACCTATTGCTGCTCTTGGGCCTCGCTTTGTCTCGCTGCATGTTGGCCACTTGATTACGTGACGACATTGCATTTTTTCGGTTGTCCGCTATCATCGTTTCTGTTTCGTAGGTTGGCTGAGCTCTAAGACGCATCTTGAACCAAGCATCCCAAACCGTGAGTCCTGCCTACTGCCTCTACGAGCAGCGTCACAAGTTGTAGTCCGAGAAGTCCACGCCGTAGGTTGTCCCTTTACGACCGAGCACTACCGTCGTGCATCGCTATCCACGTCCGAGAATCGCTACCGCTGCCGGTCCACTAGCCACCATCCCGATCTGCAAGCCCGAGTTCGATCCGAGTTCAAATTTGGAATTATCCGCCAATTAGGTAAGATTATCCGAATATTTCTCTTAAATATTTAATTTCCTAGTTTTCGGGTGTTTGAATATTTCGTGAATATTTTGGTGGATAGCTAGATATCTTAGGGTAATTTTGTGATATCCGCAATATTTGAAAATACCCAAAATTAGGAATCATTCCTAATTTGGCAACGTATCTGAACGACTATCCGACCTTATCCCTAAGGTACGATACGCGGCGATACGGAAAATCGTTATCTTGTCCATAATCACTTGGATACGATAATAGATTTAATTTGCTTTCCAAATTTAAACAATCAACTTTCTGTCGATATCTATAACCCTATAGATATGACCGTTAGCTTGATTTCTTTGCCTTATCTGAATTTGAAGAATCTTGCGGATTGCGTGGATTGTTTGAATGTGATTGGTATTTTTGTTTGATTGTTTTCCTTTTAAATAAAGAAAATCTTAAAAAATTGTTAGTTAGATTTAAATTAGAAATTGTTTTAATCTTAGTGGATTATTTAGGATATTTAATAATTTCGAATTTTAATAAAAATCCCAAAAAAAAGAATCACTTTAGGATAGATCAAATCATTTTCTCTAGGATAGATTGCATGTTAATTTGAGTAATTTTTAATTCCGAATTTCATTTGAAAATACCAAAAATAAATCATTTTTCCGTCATTAGAATTAGGTCACGTCGTCGCATGACATATAGTTTGCATGTTAGGCTGCATTAATCGCATGTTAATTTTTGCACGTCATTACATATAGGTTAGCTTTCATTTAAATAAGTGAAAATCCTAAAAAAATATTGAGTGAACTACTTGTTAATTAGAAATCATATTAGGATTGTTGATGTGATTTTCTAGCTAACAACGCAGATGCTTACGTTGCTTCGAGGTAAGTAATTCTCCCGATCTTGCAATTTATTGATTATTGAGTGTTACTTTGGTGGTTTGCGCACCCGCATGATCACCTCACATGTTAGTGACTAAGTTAAAATGGATCCAGACCGCATGCATAAACATTTTTTGAAAAGTAAAGGTACCGAAAGGGCGTTAGATTAGATCTAGCGTAATCAAGTCCCCGAGCTTAGAATCTCTGGTTCGTAGGAATAAAACATATCTCCCTATGTTTTATTTAGGTTTCTAATCAACCTACCACAAATAGATTAGTGGCGACTCCAAGCATGAAAACTTTTGCATGTTAAAAACTTAAATCCTAAGTTGCGAATTGGTAGGGCTTGGGAGGGCTCGAGTTAAGCTTAGACTTAATAATCCATTAGCCCGAGAGAAATTTTTGGTCGCGACAGTAACACACTTTAATTTTTCTATTTATGGAACAAATTTTCATTCCAGAAATAGGTTTGGAACATAAATCAAAAGTAAAAATTTTATACTTTTCTATTTCTAGAACAAAAATGAGAAATAAAAACTCTTTTCATCGCTTACCATCACTACTAGCCGATAGCCCACCCACTGCCCGTCGTCGCTGCCGGTCACCTCCCGCCATCGCCGCCGGTCGTCGTCCTTCGCCGCCGGCCACCTCCCGCCGTAGTCTCCTACCATCTGCCTTCCTCTATCGCCTAATGCCGGGAGCCTCCACTGTCGGCCACCATCAGCCGCTGGCCGCCTCCACTGTAGGCCACCATCACCCGCCAGCTGCCTCTTGCCGTCCTTCGCCTGCCAGTAGGGGTGAGCGGTTCCAGGTTCCGGGTAGGTTCCGCCTGGAACCTGGAACCTACCCTCGGGTACAGGTTCCTCAAAAAGAGGAACCTGGAACCTACCCGTCGAAACGTGGAACCTAGAACCTACCCTGTCATAGGTTCCAGGGTCGGTTCCAGGTTCCAACAGGTTCTTTTTTTAATTTCGTTTTGAATTAAACAAAACAAAAATAAACGCAAGAATCCTTCATACTGCAGGCAGCACCTAAGACCATTCTTTCCAAAGTGTTATTTTATTAGAATTCAGTGGAAACAATGGAGGATATGACAGATAAGACACATTCCTATCATTTAGCATGCCTAACAGAGCTCTACTTGCAACTCGCATGTAAGTGAACTGTCATTTGCAACACAAGCAAGAAATCTTGACACAGCTACTTCATAGCAAAAGTGACGAAGAACATTGTCAATTTCCACAAATCAAAGAAATTTGCGAGACAACCGGTAATTGCACAATGAGGCACTTAAGGTCAGCAATCTAAAAGCCTCCTCTCTCAGAAAAAAGGCTGAACCGCCGAGTGCCAAGAATACACCAATCTAGTGATTCAAACAAAACTTTCAACTGCATCCATGAGCCGCAAGGAAAGCCCCATAAGTGAGGCCAAAAATAAGGAAAGGAAAAATCACCAACAGAACAATGCTTGTAACCCCCAACTCCCCTACCAAAACAAAAAATCCCCACAATATGCTAGATGGCATAGACTAAAATGACATCAAACAAAAACAAAAATGAATCAAAAAATACCATCGCTACATCACCTCATGAGAGCTGCAGCCAAAAACGAAAAAGAAAACAAAGACAACATCGACCGAGCAACGCGGAATTGCTAAAAGAAATCCAAACAAGATCACGATCGCAAATGAGTCAGGGAATTCAATCAACAACAACAACAAGAGAAGGATAAAGGGACCCACTTCGATGCATAAATTGCCGCTGCAGATGATGTGCTGGATCTTGCCAGGGACGAGCATGGACTTGAACTTTAAAGGGCAGATCAGGCGCCTTGTGCGGTATGTGCAGATCCCCAAAACCAACACCATCTTTCTTGTTCTCGCTACTCTCTATCGATCACAACGACAATGATAAGAAAAAGGGTCAACGAAAAAACAAGAAAAGGTAATATTTCCACACCCAAAGACGATCCTTTCTATTTCTCTTTCTCCCTCGATCGAGCTTCAACAATCAATCTCTCTTCTTCTTCTCCCCTTAACGCAGCACATGAAGTTCAGACTATGCAAGTGCGTAACAGTGATGAAAACTAACAAGGGTTTTGCGAAGAGAGAGAGACGTTGACTCGGACATACCCTGGAACCTAAGCGGACATGGAAGACCCTCCTCCATCCCTCATTCTTGTCGTTCTCTGAAACTTCTCCCTTTCTCCTCAGGTTTACCATCTCGAACTCACCTCGTCTTCGTCCACGCGCCTCCAGCAATCAGGTTCTTCGCCATCCCACGCTCTGTCGTCGTCCCTCCCGGGCCTCGAACCACCACTCGCGCCACCTCTAGCCCTCGAACCCGCGCGATCCTTAGCAGAATCCTCGTCCCCGCTCGAGATGCTCAGCATCTCGACGTCCGAATCGTCATCGTCGTCGACCACCCTCCTATTCCCGTTGCCGCTGCCCCCTGTTTTGCTGCCGCCGCCCAACTGCTGCCGCGCGCCACCGTAGCCCGCCTCTGAAATGCCGACGCCGCGCGCGGAGCTCCTCTACTGGGTGTGGTTGATGAAGACAGAGGAAAAGCCGAGGCGACGCCAAACGGAGAGAGGAGAGGCAAGCTCGTGGAGTCGTGGGTGTGGGGAGTGCGAGAGAGAGCAGACTGGAGGAGGACTGAGCGAGGAGAAATAAGGGGAAGAAACAAGAAACAAACAAAAGTTAGGGTTTTTAGAGGGTAAAGTAAACCGGTTCCGGTTCTCCGGTTCCGGTTCCTAGGAATCGGAACCGGGAACCGGAACCGGAACCGGCGGTTCCTAAAAATTTGGAACCGGGAACCGGAACCTATCACCTTGGAACCGGGAACCGAACTGGACCCGCCGGGTCCGGTTCTTCGGTTCTCGGTTCTACCCTAGAACCGTGCTCACCCCTACCTGCCAGCAGCCTCCTGCCATCCTTTGCAGTTGCCCGCCTCTCGCCACCGCCCAACACCAGCCACCTCTTGCCGCCGCCCCCCTCTTGTCGTCGTCCTCCGCAGCCGGCCACCTCCCACCTCCGCCCGCCGTCCTCCACCGCCGCCCAACGCCGGCCACCTCTCGTCATCGTCCGCCGGCCGCTTGGGAAGGAGAAATTTTGTGTTGTTATCAAACGAATTTTTATTTTAGAAACAAAAATTTTGTATTGTTATCAAACGCGTATTTTGGCTCAAAAACTCGTCCATGGTCCAGAAATAGAAATTTCTGGCAAAAAATTGATTTTTGGAACAAAATGGTTATCATTCGAGCTCTTAATGACTGAAATAATCCTATAGACACTTATCAGGACTTAATGAGTCCATAATGTAAAACCTAGAACACTTTCCAGAAAGTCAGGAACTCGGTTCATCATGTAGATTAAGTTCAGGGGCATCATTGAAGGTTGGATGTAATATTGCACGTGTACACTACGGCTACTGTCCTACCAATTCTACCACCTATCGCCTAGCAAAAACAAAATGAGGTCACCATCCATCACACACTTTCTTTTTCTCAGCTGATTTCATTGTCTTAGATTCTGCTGGATACGGATCTTTATTAAAGCCTAAGCACTCTATTAAATAACACTCTATTATATAATGGGCATCTAACTCTTCAGCCCCTAGTAGAGTACTGTAAAATGCATGCACAGAGTTCTAGAGCAAATCGTGCCCCACAAACCCTAGCTCTCATGCAACTCGTGGGGATTAATCCTTGTTTTTCCTTCTCTAGTTCGCGAGAAACTGTTGCCGTCCCCAAACGGCTGTAGCTAGTTGAAGGATTGTAAAGAGCAGCTGTTTCATCTTTCAAGTTCCAAATGTTGTCTGTAAGACTAAGAACAAGCTATTGGAAGTACTGGTGCGTATGGTTGTAAACTTTCACTCATGTGCCCGAAGGAAGATAGCTATTACAACGTGATAACAGTTTAGGGACAACTTACGTGTAATCTTCTAACTTTTGAAAACTAGAAAGTTTAACCCGACCATTCTTTAATTTTGCTCCGAGAGAGAAACATAGTAAATTAACTTGAAGGAAAGCTACTTTTCTAATTCGATTAGATGGGAATTGGGTATTTTTATGAAATACTGTGCTCTCTGTTGTTTTACCTTAATCATTCAGGCTTGTTTGTTTAGAATTAAGTTTAGCAGTAAAAAGCACATTTTTGCTTTCTCGGCAAAATTTAAAGTAATCAAACTTCCAATATGATTATGGAATATATATATATATATATATATATATATATATATATGTGTGTGTGTGTGTGTGTGTGTGTGTGTGTGTGTGTGTGTGGATATACATGTCAATATTTGTGTATTGTGAAAAGTTGAAGTGTTTAGGATAAAAAAAGTCAAAGTGGATACGCTGCATGACTTAGATTGAGTAAAAAGGAAATAATAAAAAGTTATCGAGTCAGACATGCTAGAAACAACTTTGAAAAAATCTCTGGTAATAAATAATAAAGCTCATTATATACATATATTGATAACTAGAAATACACGGTTCTGGTGAAAGCTAAATATATCTATTTTTAGCAAGGGATTATCTTTTGATACATCGGAGATTATATAAGAATTAATTTTCACCGAAAATGCATATGCTCATTTCAATGGATATGGATCTCCTATTGTAAAATCGTTTCAACACCTCAATATATCTCAATTGTCGATCTATAAACATAAAGAATTTTATCAACAAATGAGATCTCTTGAAGTGCCGAAGAGAGCATGGCATCGGATTGAGAATTTTTTGCCTAATGCTAATGATACGATACAATAATAGCATACATTACGTACGTGTTATCCAATCAGATGTGCATAATATACTCTCTCTCTGTACACTCAACTCTCCCTCTCTCTCTCCCTCCGACAGGATGAAGATAATGCCACTTTCGATTAAATAATTGCCCGACTTCAGATGTGCTCGAGAAAAGATAGACCACCTCGATTACCCCTAAAATTAGCACGATTGATTAAATATATTAGAAGGGATAATGCCAACAGAAACGGCAAAAGTTTTGATGATTGCTTGCTAATGCTAAATGGACCATTCCTTACGACCACAAAAGGGCATTAAAATACTGAAACAATTCATTTGACCCAAAATCTTGACGTGGCAATAAAGCCTTTCGAAGTGACAACCGATTTGATGTGCCGCGAGGAAGGAAAAAAGGGCACTTTCTATCTATTTTTACCTCCTGTGGATCACATTAATCTTATAATATATAGTGGCAGCATGCTGTTCCCGACCCACCGAAATATGCTGATGATGTCTGGGAGTAGGCGATGAAAATTAACGAAAGATATGCCACAATCATTCCACGATCACTTTCGAATTTGTGAATATCTGTGGATCTTTTAATGCTAAACTTAGATTATTCGTTTTCATAGTGGATAGGCTGATTTATACGTGCCGTATTTCTCTTTTCTACGTTTCGCACTCTTATGTATATATGCTATTAGTGAAATGAAGGTATGAACATATTCCGTTTTTTTTTTTTTTTGCAATGGCAATATGGTATCATAACAAAAGGATCCAGAGATATTCACAAAATGAAAGCGATCATAGAATATTCGATCATCATTATGGAACATCTTCCGTTCTGTTGGTCTAAGTGGGTTGGCCAATCTTTCTAGAAATGAAGCGCGAGCCCGTGAAAAAAAAAGTTATGTGTTAAATGACGAGCCTTAGAAATTGGGCTAGTGATGAACATTCCTACAACATGAGACACTAGGGCAATACATGATAGCTCATTTACTGTGATCCTATCAGAATTGATTGGACTTTGCACATGTCAGCTCTATATCAAGTGTCTTTTGGACAGCCTAGGTCAGACTAGTGTTTTAGCGGCGACTCACGATGGATGTTGGGTATTATCCGGAATTTAGGTTATCCATCTTGATCTATGTAGCTTAATTAGGTTTACTTTTCTAGATTAACTCTTGTTTAAATTGCATACAAATATAAGGCAAGAGAGTTAATTTTGTATGTAACTTTTGATGAATTAACTTGACAATTGAGTTATCCAAGTATGGCTTATCCAAGTATGGCATTTATCTTTCAAAGCATGGGTTTTGGTGTTCGTATCTCTTTCCTCCTTCTCTCTAGTTTCTCCCTCCTTTTCTACTATATGATTTCCGTCCCCTTTCTACAATTCCATGTTATTTTCCTTATGAGCTTCCATTTTTGTCAATTGGAATCAAAGCGCAATCTGTTCTCCATTACATATGTATGGCTAAGGTCTCTCTTCATTTCTAACACAAGAAAGACCCCTAGCTAGGGTTTTATCCATGTAGAGTCATCTAAGATGAATAGTAGATTCCAAAAGAAGGCCTAAGCAAAAGGATTCTATGATAATCAACTCATTATCCTTCACAGTGTAATCAGGTACATTTTTTTTTTACATACGAATTTGGCGGTTAATTTTTTTATATGTGTGAGGTTATTATTATTCTTTTGCGGGTGGTTTATTTGATTTAATGAAAACGGGCGTTGAAAATAATTGCTCGTGCTATTTATCTTTTGTTTAGGTGCTCTTAAATAGAGAGCCAGCACTACACGTGGTATGGGATTATTGAAAGTATTTAATCAAGAAAGACATAGCAGCCACAAGAGTGAAGTGCTCACCAACTGACGAATTTATAATTATTTAATTTACATAGTTCAACTCCTTAACTAAACTTTTGAGAAGAAGGAAGAAAACTTAATAAATGTTTCAAGTCAACTAATGGGTGAAAGTGGTCTTACTTTTCTTGGTGGTCACAGCACTTCACCTAAGCATCACATAATCCACCTACTTAAATTGAGAAAATGACAAAGTATTGGCATACCTCGACCCATTGTTTGCCTTGGTGCTGCAATTTGAAGCACAACATCCATTAGGGGACTGAATGATGGTGAACGCCTCGAATTCAAAGAAGCACGTGTTTTTTATTGTACGTGGGTCTCTTCTTCTTCTTCCATTAAGATCATTTCAATCAAGTCACTAGAGCTACTAGCAAATGACAACCCTTAATCATCAATCTCTTCCCTTGTTTTCATCTATTGATGAGTTGAATCTTTGAAGTTCGACGCTTTCGTTATGTTCTAACGGGACGATCTTCTCACTAAGTATGAATAGTTATACTTGAAGTATTAATGAATTTCAACAAGCGAAAAGTAGAACAGAAAACGAAAAGAAAAAGAATATGACACAACACGAAATCGATTTGTTTAGCGAGATCCATACACAAGAAGACTTCTTCTCGTGCTCGAAGATCAGAATCCATTCCGAACTCGTAATGAGGAAGATACGCGCTCTAGGGACGACTTGAGTCTCGTTGATGCTTATTTTAGGCATTGGGCGAGTTATCAAGTGATGGACCATCAATCATTCGTCAAACGTCGGCGGTGTCGGCAGTTCCAGCATATTTTGCACGTTTTCCCGTGAAAATGGAACTCGAGTAATGATGTCATTTCGGCATGTTTGTCAAGAATACAATCGGGAAAAGAAAATTAAAGAAAAAAAAAACAGAAAAAAGAGGAGGATCATTGCGACCCTCGTTCAGACCACATATGCCACACGTGCCCTGTTCATGAAGAGACGTGAGGAAATTAAGATTGAAAATGGGGTTAGGTCAGTTCGGTGGGATCTTGTTCGTGTGTTTTTTGACTGATATCTTTTTTTCTCTTTCTTTTCGGTGTCCTCTCTCTTTCTATTCACTGATTGAGTGGATGTTGCCGTCAACAGCAACGCGTAAATCGCTTTCTTTGGATGCCTAAAGCAATTTCTTTTCTGTGTCCTCTCTGTAGGCTCGGAGGGAGCGATTCGTGTGCATGATTTGGGCATGATCTAAGGTTCGAGTGGTTTTCGAAATTTCCGTCATTTTATATTCGATCAATTTATTGGATTGCTTGTCACAAAGACTTTCTAAGAATATATATCCGTAAGTGAGATCGATAGGTGTCGATGTCTTTTGGACATATCTCTACCAGGACATTTTTTGATTCTATACAAGAACTCGCTATCACAATGATTGCACGAATCTAGTTAACCTAAGTTTCAAGTTGAAGTCAGGTCATTCCAAGAAATTGATATTTTCAAACGAAAAT